TTATCAGGGGCGCCGACTTATAAAAAATATTGGGGGGGCCCATACCGGGGTCCTGCCCCGGGAAGTTTTCTAAGTTCCAATGTCAGCGGCGCCCGGCAGAGCAGCCCTCTCGGCCACGGCAGCCCGGCTCTCCCAGCCCCCGGGGGCCGCCCTCCTCCCTCGCGCACCCGCACCGTTCCCACCCGGGGAGGCGGCGCCCCCAAGGACTCAGGTTCGGTTGTACCTGAGAAGCTGAGCACCTTGGCTCCCAAACAAATCGGCTTCTGAACAATCGAAACCCAGAAGTGAGTGTTCTGGTTTTCAAATGATTTTTGGAGGGCGAACATCCGGTGCGGCTTCCGATTGGCTGCAGGGGGCTCCTCTGGCAGAAGCCGCACTCTGGTTTTCAAATGGTTCCGGGAGTCGAATGGACTCCCGGAACGCATTCTGTTCGAGAACCAAGGTACAGTGGACGCTCGGGTTGCGAACGTGATCCATGTGGGAGGCACGTTCGCAACCCGCAGTGTTCGCAACTCACATTGCTGCGTCTGCGCACACACAGGTTGTGATTTAGCACTTCTGCGCATGCACAAGTGCCGAAACCTGGAAGTAACCCATTCCGGTACTTCTGGGTTTCAGTGCATCCATAACCTGAAAATACTTAAGCTGAAGCATCTGTAACCCGAGGTATGACTGTATGTACCAGTCCTAAGGAACTGGCCAAGTAAGGCAATCAGCATCTGCAGGTCCCTTGACAGACAGGAGAGAAGCCACACTCTTGGATTTCTGTTGGTAGATGCCTCTTCCTGAGATGCTTGTATTATGCTAATCATAGAATCATAGAGACAGAAGGGACCCCAAGGTCATCTAGTCCAACCCCCTGCAATGCAGGAATCTTAGCTCAAGCATCCCTGACAGATAGCCACCTAGCCTCTCCCAGGGAGCAGAGACCGTCTGAACAGCTCTTATTGTCAGAAAGCTCTTCCTGATGTTGAGCCGGAAAAGTCTTTCAAAGCTGCTGCACACCTTTGTTTGGGGTCCTCCCCTCCTTGCAAATGTCAGTGGGAAGGAGGGCTCTGTTTCAACAGAAAAATAAAGATTCCCCCTTTCTTCCAGCTTCCACTCATTCGTCTCCGACTGATAATGGACTTGGGAGGCTTTGAGCCCCTTGGGGAGCTGAGCTGTAAAGGACAACCTCCAATTTTCATGCATCAGAAGGAGCCCAGGAGCCCCATCGGGGCTTACCCTGCGCAGGCTGGTTCCCCCCACAAACACACACACTGGGTTGCAATTTTGTGGGTCAGCTTTGGCTGGGAGAGGCAGCCCCCCGTTAAGTCTCTGCCAGCCCAATAGCACAGCACCCCCCCCCGCCAAGTCCATGGCAGGAGACAGGCAGCAGCACCCAGACCCCAGAGGCTGCCCTTGGGACTGGCGTTCCCACACTGCCGCCTCCGCAACAAAGGCCAGCGGCCAAGTCCCCCCCCCCCCCAGCCGCTTCCTTGGTCCCACAGGAAAGCCAGGCAGGGGCTGCACATCCTGCCCTCCGCCTCTTCCTGCTGCCCCCAACAGACAACCAGGCCTGCAAGCTTCCTCTTCTGACATCGCCCAGGCCCCCACGCAGCCCCCCACCAGCAAAACGCCCAGGAGTTTGAAGGGACCCGAGGGCCACGCAGCCAAGGGGTCTAACTCTGCAGGGAAAAGCTTCCTGTCTTTCCTCTGCCCCCTCCCCACCGGAAAGGGATGGTGGCTGCAGGCTCTGCCCCCCCCCTTAACATCTGCAAAATGATTAAGGCTGATACATTGTGTTACAGGATTTTATCTAGGTAACTTCCCTGAGCTGTCAAGTTGAAAGGGTACATTCAGGCATAATATTTGCAACATTTAACAACTTTAAAGATGTCCCCCCCCCTGTAATTTCCATAACAGTTGGAAGGTCAAAAATATAACCTCCTATGACAACTCCTGCAACCCATGAGCTTTCAGACAAAGATCATGCATGGACAAATGTAAAGATCTTTGGAAAGTATTGATCGAAACCACAGTAACAAACGAATCAATGTATCTTCAAGGGAAAGAATAAGTAGATCCATTTGCATATATAGCTCTGTAGGCTTAATTATATTCCATTGCTATTTTGTTATTGCTCTTTTCCTCTGCTTCTATTTATTTTTAATGCATGTAACCTTTTTATTCCCCCCCCCCCCGCCAATTTAACTCCTTGTAATACTCTCAATAAAATATAAGGAAACAAGAAAGGAGATTCCCACAAAACATTAGGAAGGCCTTTCTGGTGGTGAGAGCAGTCAGACAGGGGAAGGGGCTTTTAGGGAGAGGTGGGGGGGGGCATCTGCCAGGGATGCTTTAGCTGTGAGTCCTGAATTGCTGGGGGTTGGACTGGATGACCTTTGGGTCCCTTCCACCTCTATGATTCCATGACCTTTAAGGGAAGTCACCTCCATCTTCCTCTCAGAGCAGATGCCCACAAGCCCTGGGCGGGAAGAGCCAGAGAGAGAGAGAGAGAGAGAGAGAGAGAGAGAGAGAGAGAGAGAGAGGAGGACATTCCTAAGAACCGGCAGCTCAGCTCTCGCCTCCCTCCAGGAACCAGAAAAGCCCGTTTAGGGCTCAGATCTTTCCCACAGGCCTTTCTGAGTTCTTCTCCGGGGACACCCCAGGATGGCCAGAGCGTCACAAGAACCGCACCAGACATTCACCAGACCCCAAATCTTTCCCCCTTCCTGGCCCGAGAGGCTGCAAATTCTACCTGCCTTCCCCCCTCCAGTTGATCAACACACAGAGATGCAGGTGGCCAGGGACCCACCTGTGCACACCTGAGCCTGCAAGGGGCAGCCAAGCCCCCTTCACCGCCTGCCCCCCCCGCCAGCCCCCTCTCCCCTCCTCCCTAGGCGGCAGCTCCGCCATGAGCACAAACGGCGGCGGCGGCAGCAGCCGTGCGCGGCCCGGACTCCCCTCACCGGCCGCGGGGAGCCAAGGCGCGCGATAATTTTCTTAAATTATGTCAGCGGCGCCCGGCAGAGCAGCCCTCTCGGCCACGGCAGCCCGGCTCTCCCAGCCCCCGGGGGCCGCCCTCCTCCCTCGCGCACCCGCAGCGTTCCTGCCCGGGGAGGCGGCGCCCCCAGGAGAGGCAGCGGCGGCTCGTGCCCCCTCAGGCCCCATGGAATCGGCGCCTATTTATTACATTCACTTTCTCAGTTCTGCACTCGAATTCTGCATTTTCCAAGACTGGCTGTGCAATCGGATACATGTCCAACCAGAACTATGTCCCAGTGGTGCTTTCTCCTAGGTAGTAAGTGTATGCAGGGCTGCAGCAGGGGGCGAGGAGGGTTGGGGCTGCCCTCCCCACTGAATTCAATAGGAGTGACTTAGGACTGCAATGTAAGCTCCTTTTTGCCTACAAGATTGGGCCCTGGCACTACAGCAACCACAATTTCTCTGGAAGGAAGAAAATGCATTTCTTCCCCTTGAAATTGAGCCCATTAGCACTTTTCTCCCTTATCTGAAAGCCCCATAGAATCTTCTCAAAATAACTGTATTTCTCAGCTCTTTTAAAATAGCACATCATTGCCCTAAAGTTTCCACCTCCTAAAATAATCCCATCACATTCTGCTGTGTAATCAGGGTGACAGCATCCTTGCTCAGAACATGGAAGTCGTAACAAACCCATTTGTCCTCTAAAGGATTATTTGGCTTCAGCACGATGGAGGTCACTTTAACCATTTTTTTTTCTTTCCTGTACAACAGCTTAATATTTCTCTTAACCTACTATTACACTTAACATTTGCATACCTAATTGTAATCCCCACAACCACAGTCAGTGCTATCATCACCCATATCACAAATATTTTCTTCTGAATGACGGGCAGCTTTTTCCATATGGTGCTTCTCGTTTATTATTGTCAACAACCTGAGTTAGCACAGCCACATTATCCTGGGGAAATTTTTTGCATGCTTATACTTCAGAAAAGAAAGCAAAAAGCCATAAACATTCATTTTCTATCTAGCGGAAGACTGAGGGGGGTGGGGAGTCCACAGCCAATAAATTGCCCCCTCTTTCTATCCTACTCCATTTCTGCAGGCATATGCCAAGCAGTTCATTTCTAGTTTCTATCACACAGGTGCCTCCGTCTTATCAAAATGAAGACACCATCGTACATGCAAGCATATTGTACCAAAGCTGAAAACTTCCGGTCATTGTGGTTTAAAATAAAAAATAAGAAATGTCCTGATCTGACTTAACACGTTCAGAAAGATTCAGACGACATTTATCCAAATGCATTTCATCATTTAGGCCCAACACATTCTTGATTTAGGCTCTCCTCCCTGCAACCTCCTATTTCCCTGACACGGGAAAAGAAAACCTCTCCGGAATTATTATGCCTTTCTTTCTTTCTTTGTCTTTCTGTCTTTTCCCCAGCAAAACATCTTTGTCAGCAATGGTGCCACAAAGCCCTTGGGCACAGCTAAGCCAGTGCAAATCAGAGCAGCACTCCTCTCTCACCCAAAAGCAGGGGAAAGGAGAACAAGAAAATAATAATGGTAATAATAGGAAAGAGCAAAGCACAGCTGAGCTCTGGGTGCACATGACAAAGCAAGGTGAATGACCACTGCAGATCTTCCAGATGGCTTATAGGCATCACTTCCAATGGGGCTTTTCCTGCAGCTGGGGAGAAGGGCTCTCGTGGGGTCCTTTTCCATGGGGCTCCCTTCTTCAGCTCCTCTTTGCAGAAAATGATGCTGAATCATCAACAGTTTCAGCCCCGTCTCTCCCCTTCCCTGGCACCCGCCCCTATTTGTTGCAGCATCAGTTTCACCCATGCAACCTCCCCCCCCCACCCCCAAGCTCTTCTTTCTTTCCTTTCTGCAGGGCACAGATAGGGAGAGAAGGGGCGTTGGAGCTATATAGCTATTGTGCTTAGAATATGCCCAGGTTGGCTGGCTGGCTGGCGGCGAGGGACCGGGGAGGCTATGATCCCTAAATGATGCAACGGCTCGCTGTCATTTACCTGCAATGGGTGGCGGGTCCCTTCAACCTACCGCCCCCCCGGGCCGTTGTCGTCCCGGGCAGCGCCGAGATCCGGCAGGCTGCTCCTCGCTCGGGGCTGCCCGGTGCCAACGGCCAGGGAGACTGGCGGGTGCGCCTCGCGTCCGTCCCAGCTCGCTCCCCCGGCAGCAGCGGCGGCAGCATCTGCTCCGGAGCCTGCCAGGGCTGGACACGCTCGCGAGGAGGGATGTTGCTGCAGAGCGGGGAGGCCGGAGCGAACCATTCCTCAAGCACGGGGGAGATGGAGCAGAGGGAGAGAGAGAGCCATGCGACACTCGCTGCCCGACCAGGGAACTGCAGGGCTTCTGTGCACTAAAAGGGGACGGGAGGCGGATTGCTGGAGAAATCAGATACCTAGTCCTAGACAGCATCTTAAAAAGCGGAGACATCACCTTGCCAACAAAGGTCCGTATAGTTAAAGCTATGGTTTCCCCAGTAGTGATGTATAGAAGTGAGAGCTGGACCATAAAGAAGGCTGATCGCCGGAGAATTGATGCTTTTGAATCATTGTGCTAGAGGAGACTCTTGAGAGTCCCGTGGACTGCAAGAAGATCAAACCTATCCATTCTTAAGGAAATCAGCCCTGAGTGCTCACTGGAAGGACAGATCCTGAAGCTGACGCTCCAGTACTTTGGCCACCTCATGAGAAGAGAAGACTCCCTGGAAAAGACCCTGATGTTGGGAAAGATGGAGGGCACAAGGAGAAGGGGGCGACAGAGGACGAGATGGTTGAACAAATGTTCTCGAAGCTACCAGCATGAGTTTGACCATTTACACTTATATTTAAAACATGAGCCTACAATGGAGGGGTTCACAGCATCAACATCCCAAAAAGGTTGTGTTTCTCCCATAGCCACAGTTTTAGATTCAAGCAGAAATCAGCCATGGCTGGCTCTCTCTCTCTCTGCCTTTCCAACCTGCTGTTCTTTTCTAGATCACATCATACACACACTTTTCAACTCTAAACTCTGGGTTTTGTCTGTCTAACTATCTAAGAGCTGGAGTAGGGGCCCCACTCATTTACTATCCGGCACAAAGCCCCCTTTCTTTTGCTCTCTTAATGTCCCACCACCATTCCTTTCTTTTCTTAACGACCTACCACCCCAGGCAGTTACCGCAACACAGGAAGCTAGCCTGGTTTATTTAGATTTTAATGCTTGCTGGATCCAGGGATTAAAGAGGTCCAGCACCCAGTCTAGCACCCAAAGCCTTGATTCAATTCAAACACTTACTGGGTCCAGGGATTACTGTATAAGTGTCTGGCACCCACAAACTCATAACAGTACCTTGTATAGGTGACGCAAGCAATGTGAGCATGACTCAACTTGTACAAACTGTTATTTATTCCCTTTCCGCTGCATGGGTGCCTAGCAATATATGATGACTGAGTTTTCTCCACTAGCTTCCACCTCCTTTACATGCAAGGAACAAGAGTAAAGCACTCATCTTAGCACTAGGCAGCGGACATCCCTTGTATTTCATCCTATGGTTATCACCACGCTCCCTGTGGCATCACAATGCATCCCACCATGGTTCCAAATGAACCCTGCTCCTGATCCCATCAATGATCAAAGTATGCCAAGCGCAACCTGAGTGCTATGGCCGGCCTTCTGTTAGAACCTTCTAATCACACAAATAGCTATTAGTATATAACTTTGCCAGTCATCCTGCTATGCTTAGAATGATACGGAATGGATAGTTTAGGCAAGCAGGTGCCACCAGCATGAATAATATTTATTCTGCTCTTCTATTTAATCTATATTTTGAACAGTGGATGGTGCAAGTGTAAAACCACATACGAGAAAGTTTAACATCAAACCCATCTGAATCAGAAGGAAAACGCTGAGCAGGCAACTGTTGAAAGAGTACGTAAACTAGCCCATAACCCTTTTTTCACAGTTGCCAGTCAGATGCTTATGAGAAGCATGCAAGGCATGTGGGCGCAGCAGCCCTCAAGTTAGGGAGAGTTGTTTTGTATACTGTATTGTTTTGACTTTTATGTAGTTTTTCTTCTTTAAATTAGATATGTCACCTAGAAGGGGACGTGGGTGGTGCTGTGGGTTAAACCACAGAGCCTAGGACTTGCCGATCAGAAGGTCGGCAGTTCGAATCCCCGCAACAGGGTGAGCTCCCATTGCTCAGTCCCTGCTCCTGCCAACCTAGCAGTTCGAAAGCACGTCAAAGTGCAAGTAGATAAATAGGTACCACTCCAGCAGGAAGGTAAATGGCGTTTCCGTGTGTTGCTCTGGTTCGCCAGAAGCAGCTGAGTCATGCTGGCCACATGACGGACAAACGCCGGCTCCCTTGGCCTATAGAGCGAGATGAACACCGCAACCCCAGAGTCGGCCACAACTGGACCTAATGGTCAGGGGTCCCCTTTACCTATACCTTAAGTCACCTAGAGAGCACCAAACAAGCACCAAGTATGCCATAATATAAATATGACTGCTCTACTGATGCAACACTTGGTGAAGGTTTTAGGCAGTTTAAATGGGACATTTGTGAATGATGTGCGAACTGCAAAACAGACATACATCACTCTAGTTACAGATAGGTAGCCGTGTTGGTCTGCCGTAGTTGAAACAAACTTAAAAAATTCCTTCCAGTAGCACCTTAGAGACCAGCTAAGTTTGTTATTGGTATGAGCTTTCATGTGCAAGCACACTTCTTCAGATATCTGGAGAAGTGTGCATGTACATGAAAGCTCATACCAATAAAAAACTTAGTTGGTCTCTAAGGTGCTACTGGGAGGAATTTTATTATACGTCACTCTAAATATTGATGTAAAATTGAAATTTGCCTATGATAGTCTTATTGCAAGAATTTGTTAGTGCTTGGTTTAAAAAGTTATTGGTTATGTTCAGGACTTTACATAATAATGTTTCTATTTATTCTTTCTTGTAAGATGCTCTGAATACTTGTAAAAAGAGCAGGATATAAATAATAAATAGCAGCAAAATAACAGAATAGATTATGGAAACAGAGAGTAGAGGATTCTCATTTATTTTAGGACTCTGTTTATGCTGCAAATTTTAACGCAATATGGCAGAACAGTTCACTGCAGGGTTCCAACTTGTCTTGCATTCTGAAGAATTTGTATTAACTCACAAAAAGCCTAAACAACATGGGCCCAGGGTAATTTACAGACTTTAATTCCTTATTGCAGCACCTTGAACACTGAGATCTTCTGATGGGGGGATTTTGGTGGTCCCCTATACTCCTGAGTTTGTGTCTTGCCTCCTTAGATTGTATGCCTGACAGCAGGGACTATCTGCACACTGCCACAACAGCCCATTTTGGCTGCAGAGTGAGATAAAAAAATCTTTACATGAATAAATGTATTCTATTTATTTATTCATCCATTTAACAACATTTATATACCAACTGATTGTAACAAAACCTCCAAACAGTTTAGATGAGATTTGGTCATGTTTATTATTGAATGATACTTCTACATTGACTGCTGTTTAATATTTATAAAGCACTTGCTAGAACTGTTCTAAAAACTAGTTAAGATTCATGCCTGGTTATCAGTGATGCGGAATGGCATCCTCAGAGCAAGTGATATGCAAAAAGTGAGGCAAGCTAGAGTCTTATAAAAGGATATGGTGGCGTTTGTTTCTGCTTTGCGGAAGAAACCTCAAGGAATACACACCCACTTGGATACACAACGTTTTCTTTGTTTCTTTTTTCTCTTTAATAAAAGAAGCAATCACATTTTCTAACTCTGTAAAATAAAATAAACCCAGGAGGAGGAACCCAAAGGTTTTTTTTCCAAGTACAAATCACATTTGAACCCTTCTTCCCAGTGAGTATCCGTTGTTCTTCAGCTAACCAGATCTGACTATTCTATCGTGAGTTCACAAATGCCTAGCAAAGGAGTGATTTATTTATTGTCTTGGTTGCCATTACAGAAGCCACAATAATATGTGAAGAGTCTCGCCTAAAGCTCTTTTCTCCCTGTATATCCTTCTCAGAAGTGTACACACTTCAAATGGACTGGGGAGCTGTAATTTCCTAAAGCAATATGTTTTCTAATATTTCTTGAGGTGAATGTCTTTCTTCCCAGTGCTCTCTAAACACTCTGTTTAGCAGATATTATACAGAAAAAGTCAGCGTACTCTAAAGGTATTTTTTCTCTCTGCTGAGTACTTTGAAAGTAAAATTCGTAAACATAAAGCAAATTACATCACACGAAGCAAAGCTGCTGCCTCCTACAGTAAGGGAGTACTCACAGTCTGATTCAAGCAGCTCTGAAATGACCTAAACTTTCCCATCAGCTTCAGGCCCCAGCTTTTTTCAAAGGCCACATGTAGGTTCACTGATGTTTACAAGAGTTGTCCTAGGCAACCAAATGGAACACAGAGATTTAAAGGGACAACTTCCAGACTAGATACTATCTTCTCCAAATATTATTTTACTGCTTGTCCCGTTCTTGAAAAAAAAGAGTTATGGGAAGCCGTTGATGTGAAGAGAAACAAAACAAACTACAATTTTTTCTGTATCTCCTCCCCTTTTAAATGGAAGAAAAGTTGCCCCGTTTTCAAGGAGTATGTGGAATTTCTTAGCACGATGACGGTATTTAATCATTCAGAAATAATTAGAAAGTCACACCCTTCCCTCTTTGTACTTCACAATATATTTCATGCTTCACCTGCATTTGGATAGCAAGATCAGCTCCCTCTAGTGACAAACATATAATGTATTTGTCCATACAGAGGTCGTATCAGGATAACATAACCAATTACAGGTTGTATGCTGTTTGTGAACAGACTCCTCCACCTGCTCCAAGGACTATTAATGTCAACAACAGGTTGCCAGAGAAGAGGCAGGTGGTACTGAAAGCAAAAGTGCTGCAGCTCCTTGAATGCAATCCTATACCAACTTACAGGGAAGTAAGCCCAGCTAAACTCTGTGGGACTTGCTTCTCAGTAAACGTACTTAAGAATGCAGTGTTATTATCTCCTCAAACAATGACTGGGCTCAAAGCAATGCAACAGCAAACAAACAAACGCTCACACATTTAATGTATTTATTTATCAAAGCTATTTCTAACCTGCCATTTATTTCACAATGGATCTTCAGGTGAGGTAGAATACACAACCATAACACAAAATACATAAAAACTAATCAAAACTAACCAACATAAACCATAAAAGCAGCAAATAATAAGAACAACGGCTCAAAAATTTGCACGCATTTGCTTCTAATCGGA